CACAGCAGTGGGTCGCAACAGTGGGCGTCTACTGTACAACCCTATCACGAGTGCTGCTGAAGGTCATATGACCGCCATTCTCTGTACATGATTTGTTTACGGTTCGTTTCAGCAGGAGTTATTCCAGTCGCTCTCTCAGACCCAAGAGGCCATCATCTTTTAGCCGCAACTTTGTGGTGAGTTGTTTTTCCATGTTAGGTTTGCAGCTGCCTGTGGGTTTCATGGCTCAAGCTCTGTAACATGTTTGGTGAGTGGGAATCGGTCTGGTTCATTGGTGTTATCAACTAACATTACGGATTGGACTTTTTGTTTTCCCATGTTTCGTTTTCCTTGGTTGAGTCGCTGCACTGTGTTAACATTTTCCTCGTTGTATCGATGCTGAACACAATGGCTGTCACGCGGTGTTGTAGTAGCCTAGCAGCACACCGATGTCAACGCAACATCAGTCTTCCACTCTGAACAGCGGCGCTTCGCCTCTTGTTCCAGTATTACGGTACAATGCTCAGCCAACGCGGAAGCGCTTAAACAAGTGGTCAGTTTAATCGCGTGGTATCATAATCGTCGATAAAGCGATGACTTTTCGTAACATTTCCAAAGAGGCACTGGTTGGATCAATCACACTGGGACTTGTTTTTGTCGTCGGTTATCTCTTTGGTAAGAGCAAACGTGTTGAAGCCTAAAGACTTGACTTTAAAGCCGTATAACGTCGCTACAACACCGTGGTAACCTGTCAGTAATGTATGCAGGGTGACAGTGAAAAGGCAGCGTGAAACAACAGTCTTTGGACTCATGTTTGTCTAAACAGTGTTTTAAAACTAGACTTAGGGGTTATGTTAAATATTAAGACGTAACAAGGCAAGTGATGCACAGAGGATTTTGATGCTGCACTGATTAACCCAAATTTGAATCTTATATTATGCTACCTTAAAGCAGCCCCCCCCCCCCCCACACACACACACACACACACACACTTTTACATCAGCTAAGCATTAAATCCTGTGTTTTACCAGGGTATTACATGATTAGAAAAACATCTATGTGTCTATTAAAAGTTGAGCAAAAAAGTTTTTAAAAAAAGTATGCATGATCATGTCAATCCTATTTTTGTATTTTTAGAGACTGCCACATGTTTAGATTTTCACAGATGAACACACCATAAAGAGCTGCCCAGTACAAAGTCCACTTAAACTCATTTATTCATTTTCCCTCTATTCTTCTATTGACCCTCATAATGGTAATCACAAAACTGCAAAGAAGTAAAAATGTGAATATCCAGTGATGTACAGAGTTCCTGAAGTGACATGTCCAAGCACTAGTGCATCTACCAGATGAATTTTAGAAATGCTAGTTCCTGTGCAAACCAGAAACATAGGGACAAAGATGTCATAAAAATGTGTTTGTAAACTGATTCAGTGTATTTGCCCTCAAGATGTCAAGCTATATTGTCTGACAATTTCCAGTATTCATTTCTTTATCAGTTTGTGCTGGTGCATTGATTGCATTTCCCCACTGAGATCATTTAAGTGTGATCTGATCTAAATCAAATAATGTAAATTAACTAGACCAGACTTCAGTTTCCCGAAAGAGACTGGATGGTAGGTCCCATGACATCATCATGCTCTTAAGATCCTTATGATTGTTTCTTGGTTCATGGTTCATGTTTGCCCTCAGGGAAAAAGAAATCTTCCAGAATGAGCATCTCCAAAAGTCATTGCGGGGGAAAAGACAACCCACTGATGCAGTACGTCCTCAATCACTCCATGAGGGAGCATCCAGTCTTGAAAAACCTCAGACTGGTAAGGATGTCTTTGGATCCGCAATACTAGTGTGCTCTGGCACAATTATGCCCTCCATGTCATATGATGTAATCATTTTTCACAGTATAATTTGTGATTGTTATGCAACTGGTTTCTGACCAATGCTTTCAGAGGACAATGGAAGACCCCTGGCACATCGCGATGGTTGCCTGTGAGCAGTCCCAGTTCATGGCCAATCTGGCAAAGCTAATAAAAGCCAAGAAAGCAATAGAGATTGGTAAGGACCTCACATCTAGTTTCTGAAGTATGCTCATCTGCCACAATCCCTAACTTGTTCAGACTACTTCTTTACATACACACATTAAAACTAGGTTACTAGGAGCAGTAAGACTGCCCAGGAAATTTACAGTATATTCTCTGTGTAAGGAAGGCGGCTTTATTTAAACACATTTCACTTTTCATTTTTACTCTGGCAGTAAAGTTCATTTGAACTGAGTCTGATCATTTATGAACTTGGGTTTTGATGCTTCCATACATAGATGTTTTATGTGTGTTTTGTCATTTCTATACTTTGGAGCGGAACAAAAGTTATTTCATTTTTGACTGTATGTATTGCCTTTTGAAATGAAAAAAAAGAAAAAATGAACTTGAATCAAATTATTTGTAAGTCAAGAGCGCAGTGCTGTTACAAGCAATACTTTCCATGTCTGAAGTTAGGCACATGCAAAACACTAGCAACCTGGTTCCATATAAGTGGCCACAAGAAATCGAGCTGGGTCAATCAGGTTTCTCTGACAGTAACTTAAGTGCATGTAAACACGCCACCTGTGCAAAAACAGAATGTTATTTGGAGTTACACTTAACGTCTCCATTTTGTCCTTTCCATTGTCATCTGTCGTACTGATTTTAGTGCCCTCTCATTGCAGGAGTATACACAGGTTACAACACACTGAACATGGCTTTAGCTTTGCCTGACGATGGAGTTGTGGTGGCATGTGATATCTCTGAAGACTACGCCAACATTGGCAAACCCTTCTGGAAAGAGGTACCATTTACGTATGTTTTATTATTTGTCAAAACACTGTATTATCATGGGGTTCATTATATGATGTGTAATACTGCTGTATTGTTCCCATATTGCAAAGTGATGATCAATGCAGAGGATTTTCACACACCACAGGTAACAGACGTGCTGTAGTTCTCTTTAACGCAAGTCTGTGCATCTGCATGTTGAGACTTGAGTGTCTGTTAGTATGTCTGCCAGAGGGCGTGGCACACTGAAAACAATGACCGACCCAAGTCTTTTAACAATCCTGTTTGGACATTTGTTTGTCATTTATGAAGCAAAAAATGACACACATTTGCTGGTTCAAGCCTCTCAAATGTGAGGATCTGCTGTTTTCCTCCGTTTTATATCAATGTGAGTTTAATATCTTTAGGTTTCTGTCAGACAAAACAAGCGATTCACTGGCCTCGCAGATATTTTTATTGACATTGTTTACGATTTTGTGACACAGCCTAAATGAGAAATTTAAATTTGTCACTGAATATAACCATTAGTAGCCATGGGACTGTGACTATACAATATTGCTATAATAAAACGGTGAGCAAAAGAAGCATTGTTGCAAACAGAAATCATTAAAAAAAATTTATTTGCATCAACACCCCCTTCAGAACTTAGTTTCATGACTTTTAAGTTTAATCTGATTGGTCAAAGTCAACAAAGGCAGACTTCCACCTCATCAATATTTCTAAGTACACAGTATTTTGAATACAGTAACTGCTCGATTACTAGATTAAGATTTCTTTTAGGGTAAACGTGTTTACATGCTTGTTGTTATACATTCTTGCATTCATGAGAAATTTAAATATTTTGAATAGGCCTAACATGTAAACTTATAATCAGCTTTATTCATGCTGATATCACTATATCTTATTTTGATTCATTATAAACCAGGAAATAGCAAAACTGGGTTATTGTAAACATCACGTCTGCATAACCAACTCAAGACAGAATATTATCATGCATGCAAATACATTCACAAAAGACATCCTGATATAAAGGAAATACATCTCATCTGTTAGCAGACAACAAATCTGCTGCACTCTTACTTATTTTATGTTTCTTTTTGTCTACAGGCCGGTGTCGAGCAAAAAATTGATCTACGCATACAGCCAGCATCGAAAACTCTAGGTACAGTAATGCATCTATTTTCTTAACTTAAAATTTGACAGGAGACATACAATTTCCTGATACAAAGGTTACATTCATGAAGGAAACACTATCATAAGTTTCAAAGTACGGTCGTTTTGTAATTCCATTTAAAAAGGTGTGACATCTGCCTAATTTAATTTTTGATGCCTAAAAGAGGGTCACTGATTATATGACAAACTGAAAACGTCAGCTCATAGCAACCATGTATTATTGATAAATGCAAAAGCACTATCCCCTTTGCAGAAGGTGCCATAAAAAAGCTCAGGGAAGCAGCTGTACACTGCTCTATTTAGGAGACATTTGCCAAACCAACCAGTTAGTCCTCACAATTAAAGTCTTTTTTCATCTTTACAAAATGTAAAGACTTTAAGGATGAGGACTGTGTGACTGGTTTTGCAAAAGCAGCGCACAGCCTCTTTCTAAACGTTTCTATGGGACATTCCGGGTCGGTCTCTGACGCAGTACCTCAGTTTGTCAGTAATGTAGCCAGGTGAGACGTGAATTGTTTTGTCACCTACGGCTTTAAGTCACAGAAAAACATATAATAGATATATGGTTCCACTAATTCAATTTTTTTGTGATTAACTTAAGAATCTGTAGTTTGTTTAAAAAAAAAAAAAATATATATATATATATATATATATATATATATATATATATATATATATATATATATATGTCCCACGATTAGGTGTGTGATAATAGCGTAGACATTGTTCAAGTATAATTAAAAGCGCAACTAACGTTACCTGACAAACACACATTGATCCAGTGGTGGCCCTAAACGACTTTCCTCACAATTACTGATTATATGCTAAACTAATTAAGTTACCATTTGGCTCAGCAATCGGGTCCAACTTAGCAAGCAGGTGTGTTTCAGCTAAAAACTCTCAGCTAAGATAGTCAGATGCTTGAGAACACAGATAAAGACAACATGGTGGTTTGTACCGTAAAGTATAACATAAGCTATCCATTGCCTGGATACAGTTAGCTAACGGCTAACTTTACACACGTTTTGTTAACGTTACCTGTTGTCTCGCCAGGCAAGGTACATTTGCTGCTCTTCTCTTCATTCTTCGCAGTTTATTTATACGTAAGTGTGAATTATTTCCCGAATGATTTGATTACATAAACATGTTTTAGCAATACGTTTTTTCCCCGGCTGAGTTCAGCGCAGACTAAACGTAGCAAAAGGGATTGTTTTCCCAACAGAAACGGTGGTTCCCTGAACACCCTGTTGTGTACGCAAGCGCATTTCCCTGCCTTTTTTAAATTTGATTTAACCCCCCCCCCCGTCTTGAATCAAATGTTAAACAGTGGAGTCACCGTGACGACGTAGTGTGACGTTACATCTATAAACCATCGAAGAAGCCATCACGTGGCCTTGCTTTGAATTAAGTTTTCATAAAAATAGAACTGTCATATTTGTAAAAGGAGAAATACTTTAATATTTTCTTGGTGTTTCTGTCGCATATAACCTGAAGCATTGTTGACTTATGTTCCGTCTTGTTTCTTGCAGATGATCTCTTGTCTGATGGCCAGGCTGAAACATTTGACTTTGTCTTCATTGATGCAGACAAAGTTAGCTATGACATCTACTTCGAAAAGTCTCTGAAACTGTTGAGGAAAGGGGGCATCATTGCTATTGATAATGTAAGGATTTCACCCAAAATAAATAAGAGTTCTTGCAGTATGGCTTGCAGTAGGGTATTTTAAGCAGCTAATCCCCTCCTGTGTTGTTTTTTTTTTCTGATCCTGCAGGTGCTGTGGGGTGGTAAGGTGCTGAATCCGTCCCATGACGATGCAGACACTCTGGCCATTGACAAGCTAAACAAGAAGTTGCACCGAGATGCTCGAATCAGCCTGAGCATGCTCACAGTGGGAGATGGGCTCACACTGGCTATCAAACTATAGGATGGGTGTCTGATAAGTGTAAAGATTTGTAGGCTTTGGTAGTTAACACACTGTGATTCTGTATTCTTAAAGCTAGGTGAATTATTTGAGGGGTATATGATGGTGAAACATACTGCATGTTAGTGATCAACCAATTTGGGCTCTTTAATCGCTGATGCCAATATTTAAGAGAGCAGGGCAGGCCAATTTATAATACCAAGATCAAAACAAAGAGAAGTCATGTATGATTCCATTTATCTATAGAGAATACAATCTAATATACATTATCTTAGCCAGTAACATATTGTTTTAGATTACATTATTATTAATGAAATAGAAAAATACATTGGGTTATGTGGGGGTAGTTTGGCAGAAGAGACATCATTCAACTGCATTATTCTCTATAGTAGAACACTAGCGTTAGAGAAACATATTAACATTTAGGAAAGAGGACATGAACAGCAGCCACACTTGACAAGGCTGCCTGCAGATGTGTCCGCAGACCATAGCCGCAGACATCTTTATCAGCCTGTGGTCAGGCGTCGGCCAGTGCCGATTCTCTCAAAAGGCCAGATATTGGCCAACCAATGAAAAATCACTACAAATAGGACTGCTGTGTGTATTATCATCTGGGGCCATGTCACTTGAGGTTAATTTGGAATGTATGGAACATTGTATTTTTTACTTCAATGTAATTTCAATGCCGGTTTTATTATTTTAGTATCTGTAATAATTTACTGACTGTTTATTTTACAGTTACAAGACAAAGTGGAGCACTTGAATAAAACACTGAATAAACTTGATTTTAAAACAAGACCAAATGTACATGCTTGTTTTTGTTTTTTAGTGCATTATTATTTAGCTGAATTCATACCCCTCTTCATGCTGTCCAATTATACATATTGTCAAACTACAGGAGAGAATGTAGGTTGGTTTCAGGACTTTATTGCAAAGGTTAGACATGTCAACACACAAACCTCCCCTAGTGTCGCAGTCCTCAAAATTGGGAAGAAAAGTGGATGATTGACTCAGATTTTCTTTTCACTCAAGTCACACTGAGGAAAAGAATGGAAAACAATTTTGCATTGTCTTGCAACTTAGAAGCAGGTGTTTAAGGTAGCGGAGGTCTCAAACTTTACATGCAGCACAATTAAGCCACTCTAGAAAGATAAGGGAAGACCAGCCAATAGATTGGCTTCAATCTTGATAAGCATATTTTGTTGGGACTAACCCCTCCCAACAGGCTGAACATCACTACCAAAATACAAATAAAATGTGCAAATAAAACAAAAGGAGAAAGAGAGCTTAAATAAGGTTATATTCTACTGTGCAAAACAACAGCTTAAGATTTACATTCTACATTATCACACTTTAGCAAAATAACAGGGTTTTGTTTTTTTTATATCACTCCTTGACATGGTTCACCCAGAGGAGGGATTTTCTATCACTATGGAGGATAAATTGGCAGAAGGAGTAACTGATTTATAAATACATTTTGTAATTGAAACATGACTAGTTATTGTAACCACAATGAAGGGAGGCTCGTGGAAAGGACTTCATCTTAACAGTGCTAGAGAACTGGGATTAATTTGTTTGTTTTGGCTTTATCTCTTTAAAATATCTGTTGTTGACCAAACTCGCTCAGGGTCAGATTCAGCTAATATTGCTCTTCTTCTTATGAAATGGCAGAGCAGACCCCTCATGCCTCCAACTCCAGACCCAGACCCAGTTTGTGACCACCAGCATTGATATTCTTCCCATCCACCAGCGCAGAGAGGATTAGTTTCATACCTGAAATACACAGGTTTATAGTGTAAAGTTAGTGAAAAAGCAGTCCATTGTGTTTTTAGGAGTTGTATATTAGACTAGAGATGGTTCTCACCAGGCCGCAGAGTCTGGGTGTATCCAATTCCTACCAAGCTGGCATTATTCACCTTAGCCTGGAGAAAAAGCGAAAAAGTACATGTATGTAAGAGTACATTCACTACCACCCACAAGGCTACACAAACTTCTGCTATTTCAATTATCATTTTAAATACTGTATGTATTTTAAATTTAGTAAGCAAACAACAGTTAATGACAAAAAATGTTAAAACTAATCTCCACAAACACTAGTCACGTGTTCCTTGGCCCATAGTCTAATTCCTGACAAAATTTCACTGAACACATGTTTGAGATACCCTGCTGACAAACATTTGGAGAAACATAACTTTCCTGGGAGAGGTAAAAAAAAAAAATAAAAAACAGACACTTACTGATATGGAGGCACTGGAGTCTAACTGGTATTTGGCAGCAATTCCAAAGCGAGTACCGTTGCTGCCTGCTGTCCAGGCAAGATTCACAGCAGTCTCCAGTTTGTCGTTTACCTTCTGGTATATGGATCCGCCAAACTCTGAACCATCATTTCTGAAGGTGGGTGGGTGGGGGGGCAAAGAAATGTGCAATATCACTTGCGTGTCAGTATTCTTTACACAGTTTCACCTGACAAAAATATAATGATCGATAGATCAATGAGTTCTTTGGAGAGCCATTTGTGTCACTCTACAATTAAGTTGCTCATCCTGCCAGGTCAAATATTTTCAATTCAATTCAATTTTATTTATATAGTGTCAATTCATAACAAAGGTTATCTCATTGCACTTGTTATATAGAGCACTGTAGGTCTAGACCATACTCTTTCTAATATTTGTTGATCTTAAAAACTTACACATTGGTGTGGAGCTGGAAGTCCCCGGTCTTGTAACCAACTGCAAAGTTGCTCTTGGTCAACTTGGATTTGGCTGTGTCCAAGGTCATCTGGTAGCCAGCCAGCCAGCCCTCGTAGCCAGCCACCGCTGCTCCATGGATAGTAGGACCAGCAAAATCTAAATCTACATCCACACCAGCATTAAGGTATTCCCTCTTATAACCCGTCTTGACCTTGCCGCTCTTCTTGCTGGGAAATTAATAAAGAAAAATGAGAAAGTGAAGTGAGAAGGGTGTGTTCTCTATACAGTGATTGCAGGTCGTGATTTTAAGATTAACACAAACTGTAGCTTACCCAGTATTTGGTGAAAATGTAGTGTCAAAAGTAAGTTTCAGCCCTTTGGTTATCTACAAAACATAATTCCATCAGTCACACTTTAATTTAAAGCTGTTTCATTAGTGGGATGATCAGCAACATGGAGTTTTCAAAGTACCTGATCCTCGATACAAATTTCTGTTCCAAGTGTGTTTTCCGTGGTCCACTTCTCTGTGAACGTCAGCCCATACTCAGCCCACTTATACTTGGTTTCTAGGGTTCCTGTGACTTTGCTGGTGTCTACGTTGGATGAGCCAGACGTTTTAAACTCCTAAAGTAAATACAAGAGGAAATGAATCCAACCTGGAAACAACAGAGCAGTTTGAAGTACACCCACTATTACTACAGTGCACTGCAGTTGAGAAAATACAGTAAAAGGCAGATCTAACCTTGATAAAAAAATCATCTTGTATCAGCTGACATACACTTCTAAGATGAACATCGATTTTTGATAAGGTTCCCTTAAACTAAAGATACCTACTGAACATGATATTATACGGTTGAAAACTGAACTTGTCAGCACTCTCATGGACAAACTATGTTTCATGACCACAAACATATTTGGCATGTCGGTACTGGGGTTCTTTTTACTTATCAGCCAATATACATGCTGATAACATTACATCTGTGGTAACCTACAATCAGCTAATACCTGCAGTGCACCACTGTATATTTATAGTAACAGCTAAACTCACCACTCCACTTGAAGACTTTGTCTTCACATCAAGCTTAACCAGCCCAAAACCTGCAAGGACAACGACAGTTAGGGACTACTTACTGTGCTTGGCAATTCATTGCAAACAGCCGGCCTGTCCTCCGAATGGCAATAAATACACACTTATAAAACTGCCTTTTATCTTGCTTCCAGTTACCATAGCCCTTGTTGAAGATGTCCTTTGCTGATTTTCCGAGGTCTGCATATGTTGGAGGAACTGCCATTTTGACTGTTACAAAAAGGACATTTCAGACAGTTTAAATGGTGACAAAATTACTTTAAACATGTGTGCAAAAAAGTAAGAAAATTACTTATCTGTTAACTGGTGAAGTCTTTAAAAAGACAGAAAGTTTAACTACAAACAGAGCTGTGGTTATCGTTGAGGACGCTGAGATCATGTTCTCTGGGAATCTGTGCATTATAGCAACCTTGAGGGAATTTTCATCCTACAGTTTCTTCCTACTAATTTTTTTTAGACTCAAGTCTACTTAAATTTGACCAATTTGGGGCCCAGAACAAAAAAAAACAATGGTAATAACAGAAAGGAGAGAGTGAAGAAGACTTTTAAACAGATTTTAGATCTTGCTGAGAAAAACAAATTTATTAAGCAAATACATTAGTCAGATGAAAAAATGAAAAATATATCTATTAAAAAACATTTGGGGAGGAGGCAATGGGGCAACGGGGCAACCTGACAGTAGGCTATTTCTAAAATCGCTGCAGCTTTGACTGCATTTGTTTACTGGTTTTGTTAAAGTAATGTTTAAACTCTAACTTATTCTGTTGAATAGTTATAAGGTGCTGTCACTGGACTTGAAACATTTGTATTGGCAGACACCTGCTCCACTTGATTTAGAGTCATCTGGTCTCCATTACTCTCAGATTCTGTTGTCACGTCTCCACACTGTCAAGGTTAGACCGGAGCCTTGTCTGAAAATGTCTGCTTCCCAGGAACAAGATCGTAAAAAGGCTAAAGGTGTGACACCATACCTGGCAAAACTATATTTTCTTTTTCTTTACCACTACTAGTACAATTCGGCATAAATATAATTATCAAAACAACCGTTTGTAGAGTAACGTTTTGAATTAAATGGGGAATCACGATCAAACTTAACTGAATTAGAGGGGTTTTCTCGAATGAATTACATGTATACGCAGTTGAGGATTGCTTATTCGTAACAGTTACTTTTTTACTATTGAATAGGTGTGAACCTTTGCCAATGATGACAAATACTACACTATTACCGGTGCGTGCTTCAGTATTTTGAAGGAGTTTGACCACACGAGGATGGTAGGGGGCGATTTTTAGCTAGCAAATGGGACGTTTGATAACCATCTTTCTGACATTACAACAAAATACAACATGGGAGACCTGAGTACTTATACAACCTATTACTTACCGAGTATTGCTGTTGTTGGGAAAGTTGCTGTCAACTCAACGAGCCGGAGAAAACGGCAGAAAAAGCAGTATGGACCGGTGTAGGACGATATGGAGGAGACACCGCAACAAACACCCTCCTGACCTCGGCGCCGCAGGACCCGAAACATAGCTGTTTATTTTGTGCCAGTCTGAAATCGGTGCGAGTTGCTAATTTTGTAATTCTCGGCGAATTACAAAGTATTTGTTGTATAGTTGGAAACAGCAAACACATTTGCAAAAGTCTAAATTTTTGCCAAATGTGTACCATTGCATACCGGTGTAACACCAAAATCTGTGACCTATCAGATTCTGTGCCAACCCCAAACGACGATGTTTTCCTAACCATAACCAAGTACTTTTAGTACCTAAACCCAACCAAGTACTTTTACTACCTAAACCCAACCAAGTACTTTTGGTGCCTAAACCTAACCAAACTGCAGACGCTTCACATCGTCAACAAAGCCTCTGGCGCTTAACTTCCCATTTGGGTCACAGAATCTGATGGGTCACACATTTTGGTGTCACACCGGCAAGTGGAAGACCTCTAAATTACCATTGTAACGTTTTGGTTTGTAATAATATTAACGTCAAACATACAATAATTTCTGACACATAAAAAACTGTAATACAGTACACCATGTACTTTTGTATTTTTCATATTATTGATTTAGTTACTGTTAAACTTGCCTAAAGTTAGCCTTGGTGTCCAGTCCACATTTCTTTGTAGCTTAAATTATGACAAATACTTTAATTTTCTAATCTACATAAATCAGAATATATTAACACTCCAACCTCAGCATTTCCAACACATTATAATGGTCACTTCTGTTACTTCATTACTAATACAATATTTAGCACCCCTTAATAAAACTTTAGTTTCAAGTCCTTAATGCATGTCCTCAAGGATGGTACAAGGCTTGTTATTGATTAAATACACAGTTAACATTAGCTTCCAACAATTTCATAAACTGATTACCTCTCATGCTGAAGACTATACACAATACCTATCAATCTATAATGTATATTAGTTGTGTGGTTGTGTGGTGAGTGGGGAAAAAATAAATAACTGCCTGGTGTTTGATTTCAGCTCTTTAATGATGGAAATGACTGAATGAGACATAAAACAAGTAATATTGTAGACTGAACAGCATCATCCCTCAATGAAAGGATGTGTTTTACACTGTCAACTCCATTTACACTAAACATGTTTCTAACATGCTGTAATGACCAAATCAGTTACAACATGTCTTACTACAGTGGCAGGTTTCACTCAGTAAAATGTAGAGGCCAATCTGAAATCAACGTTACACTTAAAAAGCACAATGTGTTTCCAACAAATACAAAGTTAAGAGCAACTGTAAACATATTTCTTCATGTGCATGTTGCTGTAACACTGTATATTAAATATAAAAATACCTATTGACATTTTAAAAAATTAAATAAATTAATATAAACAAATACATAAAAATGTCAGGGTCCTTTTTAAGACCTAGTACTACAGATTAATATTATTAGCTGTAATTCTGGTCATTTACACTATGATGATTAAAAAAGCACTATACATCAGTAAACATGAAAGGTTTGGGACATTTCTACACAGAGTAACCTATCGTAACACTCAAGGTAATTGGCAAATGCAATTATATTTAAGACAGCTAGAAAAAAAAACTCTTTGATTTCATGTTTTTGGCTAATAATGACATTTCCTTGAATGTATCTTTTCTAGGTCTGGTAAGGAAAAGACAGGCTAAGTGAACAACATAAACAAAGATCTGTTGTATTTTATCTTTCAGTATGAGCATTCATTACTCTGTCCAGTCTGCAGACATGTTTCTTGACATGATGAACAATATTTTGCTATACAGAATAAAAAGCAACAGTGACATGTAGATCTTTACATATTGCTTTAACAGTGGTCCATAGTGTGATGTTTTGGTAGATTACAAAGTGGGTAGTAAGACTAAACTTTCAGTCAAGAATTCAGATGCAATCCATGAAATGATCAGGTACTGTAATTGCACAGAAAATGGCAAACTGCAAAAGATTAGGTACACTGCCGCCTGAGAATTTTTTGATGTAGCTTCCTTTTACCATGTGCTAAGCAAACACTAACACACACGTACGTTTTTAAGTTGAGAGGTAATGAAAAAATGCATTCATGTGTTGATGGGGCTTTTAAGAAACTTTTTTTTGTTATGTGGATTTTGTTTCATCCGCCTAAAAATGGTGACAGGGGAGAGAGGTTAGAAGATGAGTCCCAGAATTTAAGAAGGTATGGCTCTGTGTATCCCATCAGGCCTCGGTGCTAACAGGATCACATCAGTTGTCTTTGATGATGAAGATATCACACACCACCTCGGTTGGCAACTTGACAAAGAAGACAAAACAGCACAAGCTGAAAAGTGTCTGACAGTACCACTGATATTGCTCATTATCCAATCAGCCTCCTCATCGTAGCAGGCCTAGAGAAAGGCCAGCAGTACTCGTTGGGGACGGGGCCGTTCACGTTGCACTCGAAGAAGGAGAACATGGGGAACCAGATGCGAGCTCGTCGACTTTGCTGGTAGGCCCGGGTGTTGGCTAGAGTGTGGTAGTACAGGAAGAGTCTGGTAGTGATGTAGAAAGCTATGAACACATCGATGGAGTAGTGTTCGTGTGCAGCCAAGATGAAGAAGATACCGAAGAGATTCAGGACCCAGGACAACGTGTGAATAAAGTTCCAGCTTCGTGGAGTATCTGTGAAATAAAAAAGGAACAACAGCTGACGATACATTCAACGAATTAGCAGTTTTTTGTTGTTTTACTGGTCAGACAGAGAAAGGTTTGTTTCTCCTTAAGTTGTAATACCAGGGAAGGACACAGGGTGGCAACAAAGGGACAATCTTGTCAAATACACTTTCCTCATGATTTTTTACTTTCCCTCTCTGATGTCACAGCTTTTAATAACAGGTTGTAATTTCTCCTGATGTTCATGAATGAATGTGGAACAAATCTGGCAACCACTGTGACATTTTAAAGGTAACTGTATGTAAGTTTTAACGCAAATTTTAGACATTTTGAATTGGGGCTGAAACGATTCATTGATTAAATCTATTTATTCGATTACTAAAAAGCATCAACACAAATTCCTTGTATCGATGCTTCATTTAATCCATATAATTATATAGCGCACTGTTTCACACAGACATTTATTACTGTCGCACTTTGCGCTTACACTATGATTAAGTGAACACGACGTGATTATGATGCCGCTGTTTGTAAAGTGGAGGAAGAGAGAGAAAATAGCAAGGGACGAAGAAGAAAGTGTCCAAAGTTATTGATAGTATGGGATTATTTCAAGCTAAAAGAAAACAACAACTCTGTAATTTTACAGTCTCTCCACCGTAAAACGAAACTTATGTGGCCTACCACAACAGCACCATCTGATCAGAGTGCACCCAGTCCATCATCAAGTCCATGGAGCGGACCACAGACAGTGGTAGGTAGGTAACAGTAACAGCAACTTTAGCATTTAACTGAAATCATGATTGTTTGTTGAGTTGAAGGCTAGTAAAAGTAAGCCACAATCCTCAGCTGTAAATGTCCACACATCCGTTTGTTGTTCTCCACCTGGTTTGGCTGTGAGTTTGGGTTATAACGTCACAGTCATGAGTTAACTTTCACAGCTGATCCCCGTACTGGGAGGATGGCGCGGGGGGTGGTGCCGCTGCCACGGCCAAGCAAAAGTACTTCTTAAACGATAAATCGATTAAATAATCTGTAGAATACTCAATTACTAAAATCATCGTTCGGTGCAGCCCTTCTTTGAATATTGTTTTTTTCTTTAAAAAGGTTTCAAAAACTGCAAACTGTGCAGAATGTAAACTTTAAATACATTTAGTAGTCCTTTAACCCTAAATTCAGACCTTCCAAAGAAATTATTTTAGGAATCAAATTAAGTTATTATTAGTTAATAGTTAATTACTCCACAGCCATTACAGCTTAATCTTATCAAGAAAAACATTAAGGGGCTTCTGATGTATAAAGTTAAAGAGGTCATATTATGCTTTGTGGCCTTTTTCCCCTTTACTTTATTGTGCAGGTTTGCATAGTGAAAACGCCCAAAGTCCACCTCAAAGGGAGTTACCTGCAACACGTGTCATAATGCTCGCCTAGCGGCTATTGTGGTACACCCTCAAAAACACTGGTGGAGAAACACACTGATCTGCAGTGCAGACACACATCCGCCCACTGCCTCTCCTCACCCCCACCCTCCCTACCAAGCACTAGCTACCTTCCAGGCAGTCAGTGGACATGAAGTTGTTACTGTGATGTAGAGACAGTGCACAGTTAAAATGTTGAAAGAGAAATTTGTTACAAATAAATAACTTACAACTCTGAAACCTCTTTCTCCAGTCTAGGTTGCAAAGTGGCTTTGTTTTGGATCATACTTCCATGCTTGTCAGCACCTGCCCTGCCCTACTCTGCTAGTAGTCCTTACCTAGGTACTGCACATGTGCAACTCCTTACAAAGATTGAATAGAAGTGAGAAGCTTCAATCAGAAGCCAAAACAGACCATTCAACACACAGGGGTGAAAGGAGGCGCTGCAGCAATGTCCAGTATGTTTTTTGAAAATTAAACCATTTAAACCTATTCTGGTACAACCTCTAAATTCAACTATGAACTTGAAAATTAGCATAATATGACCTCTTTAAGTGGTTCTGTTCCCCACTGAATGTAAATGTGACAAAAGACAGAAGCTACTCACACTCGGTGACAAAGAAGTTGAGTAAGGTAATGACCACAGTGTGCCCGCTGAACATGTAGTCACCACATGTATGAACCCCTGTCAGGGTCATCCCAAATCCGCTCCAGATGGCCACAGCTCGCTGCAGTTTGGCCCACATGTCACCATATATCTAGAAGAGAAGAAGTGAAATGATCAGCACTGTGATCCATTACAGAGGCAGAGATGTTGTGATTAAGAGTTGATTATCGTGTTACCTTTCCTGAGCATTGCAGGTGCTGTCCTGGCACAGACAGGGAGGTGACAAACATGGTGATACAGCGCAGCATGAACACCGTTCCCATGAGGCTGCACATGCGGCGCAAAAGGATGGACCTACAAGCAGTGACAAACAGAGTTAACCCGGGACTTCCATGGTATCGATTTAAGGGACACAAGTGTAGGTATCTGACAGCACAGTGACAACAGTGCAGTGATGTGCCAGACTGTCAGGACTCTACCTGTGTTTATGGAGCAGCAGAACCAGCAACCAGATATTACAGAGGATCACTCCGCATGCTTCAGCCATAGCAAAGGCCCACGGTATCCTAGGCACACTGTTGAAAAGAGAAACAGAGAAATGAGTCCATAAAAAGTTAATTGACCACCCTTTCTCTGGTCCAACTTCTTGTAGATGCAGGGACTTACTGCTTTTATCTGTTTTATATCATCCTACATTGAGTGTCTTTGGAGTTTTCAACTGTTGGTTGGACAAAACAAGCAATTTTCTGTAGTTTTTTTTTTTTTTTTTTGACTAATCTACTGAACAAAAATAATAGACGGATTAATCAATCATGAAATCTCAGCCCTAAAATATCCTTGTGACATTGTTCGGGTTAAAAGCTAGAGTGCAGGACTTTTAGATATAAATGAACGTCCGTTACATTAAAGTCCTTGTCAAACGAGTTCACACAATGCTGATTAAGCCTATCACTGCAGGTAAATCTCTCTGTATTCGGAGTGCACCGAACTCGTTATATCTGGTGTCTGTGGCGACATTTCCACACAACCATGGTTTACCAGAGCCGAAGGTGGGAACCGCACTAGCGATAGCAGCAACTCAGTATGGCCTTTATGTCATAAGCACGTGTCGACAGTGTTGTGCAATTACTCTCTCTGTCAGAAGGGGAAGACAAAAGTTCCACACTGCAGGTTTAAATATTTCAGGTTCAAAGTTTTAAACGTCATGATTGATTTTAAATTGCAAAATATGGACACTAAAATCACTAAATGGACACAAAAGCTGTAACTTGCTTCTACTGGTTCTCTCTTGCCAAACACACAACTTTTATCCAAACAGATTCTGGCATTTCCCCGAAATCAGATTTCCCAATATACTTAAGACATTCTGTTTTAAAACTCAAAGCTAGCCATAAACAAAGGGTCACACAACAAAGTAGGTCACTTAATAAATAAAAAAACACTCAAAGATCCCTTTGAACCTAAGCTAGCCCATCGGGAATATCAGAGGACAATAATAGAAACATGCCACAAGGAAGTAGGGCAATTACAATGTCCACCATCTGGTGTGATATTCTGACAGTTGATAAAAATATATGTTTGTCTCACTTTCTTTAGGAATTTCACAGATGACTTTTTTTTATTATGTGGTTAAACATTGCCCCAGGTGAGAAAAATAAGTCTCAAGAGTGTCTTAGCTTTCACACACCCACCTGTCTAGAAAAATATCTGGCAGTGGAGGGTATGTGCGCATGTCAGGCACCCTCTCATGCACAATGACCATGACGAAGGATGTGAATCCAAACACAAACACCACATAGATGGAGCTAAGCACTGTCTTCCAGTACTCTGGATCAAGGCGCCTCGTCTGCTGCTTGTACTTCCCATTAGTGTACTGATGATACTCCTCTCCCACTGGTGCTGTGTCAGTGCTATCACAGTCTCTGCCTGGGTCTCCATTACACAGCCAGTCCAAACTGCCCCCGGAGCCCGTAGGAGAATGGCCATCGAAGGGAAGACCCAGCTCCTCCAACACGTCGATGTTCTGTTTTTGCAGTTTGCGGATGGACACCATCAAGCGCTTGATGTCCCCCAGCACCTTGAGCTCCAGAGGTGGTGAGCGGAGGTCATACTCGCTCAGGGCCAGCAGACTGGTGCCATCCAGTCGGTGCTTGTTGCACAGCAGGTCCACATAGTCACAGAAGCCCTCTTCCTTCAGCCACCTGGCGACGTGTTTTGGCGCCCATCGACGGACACTCAAGTGTGTCATTTCCTGGAAAAAAGAACATCACAATTCACAAACAAAAAAGTGCAACGGAGTTCTCCCTTACTGTCAATATCAGTTCTTCAGTGACTTCCACACCAAAAAAAACAAGGAATCTTAGCAGAAGTAGGCACTATTAGGCACTCTTTATTTCCACTGAATCAGCAATAATAATTCCAAACAAGCCACGCAAGACTGCCACATAGACAGAAAATAACTTTCCTTTGTGACAAAAATTATACGTGATAATCAAGACAATTCTTGAGCTCTTACTGAGCAACCTGAGCAAATATTTGAGGCAAACACTGGCAAGAGTTTGTTAAGTCACATCCTCCAAGTTTGGGTGAAGGAGCAGATACATTGCCCAGGCCTTACAGTGACTTTTTACAACTTTTGTGCTAGTTATGAATAGCGACTTGTTGGTTATTATCCACAGTCTTACTTCTAGCAGACACTTTCCTACACACTGACCAGAATAATGATCGCTTAAGCTCAACAAACCACTTTCTCTAAAGTCTCTTCCCAGGATTACAAAGATATCCATACGACGTTAGTATTTCTACCTGTCTGGATTATGTGAGATGTTGGCACGTTGGCTTTGGTGTTTTACAGAGCAGCTATAACTCATACAAACGGTCAGTATCTTTGTCCATTGAAAGCCATCAATCTGCAATAACCAAAATCACTGACCATCAATACGATGGGACCAGGAGCTAATTCCACTAACGTCTTTCAATATCTTGTAAGACATCTAGCCAAACTGGTGGTTAACGGTGTATACGACCACAAACATTCCTACGGCAGACATGAAACCAAGCGAAAGCATCATTTCTTCTACCCCAACAACCCGGCCCAATGCAGGCTAATTCAGTTCTAGCTAGCTATCGTTAGCTAGCAAGCTATTTGCTAGCTTGATCAATGCGTGTGCCTTGCGCTCACTCACCCGTACTGAGATGTAACAGAGGACGATTCAGAAACGTATTTATTCAGCTACCTAGCTAAATGGCATCTCACAAGAATCTGAGGAAATCATATTAGCGTGTGCTGCAATAACACGAGAGTGTTGAAATCATTTCGCCCTGGCTTCGTTACTGTTGACTACACAATGCGGTAATGTCCGAAATAGCCGCGCACGTAAAATCAGCTACTCGGGGCTTGGCTCCCGCTGGTTAACAGCGACACCTGCCGGTGGAAATATGGGAACGCAGCGTCTTTGATTTTGTGGTATTGTTCTTGACGCACAGGAATTCTTCTTGTGGTTAAATAAGAAGTCGTGGATGGACATAATTTACTTGAAACAGATTTAGAGGTGTGAGTTTGACCAATGTTTAGAGTATGGGTCACTGATTTAATTTTAGACCAGGAACACCTGTCCTTGTCAGTACCAGTACAGTTATAGTAAAGCCTCAACAGAGTTTGGAAATAAATGTTCGGAGAAGAAATCATGTAAATAGGTAGTTTCAGAGTAGCATTTTGTTATGTAGGCAACTATAAATGTTTATGCATATGCACTATGGAGAATCTACGTGAAAGTAATGCAGCTGTCCCTGCCACGCCTTCTGTGAAAGACTTGGTGAAGGTTTTGTATGGAGGAAAAAGGTTTGGTAATCATGTTGATGAAGTTTGGCCTAACCTATTCATTGGCGACATGTAAGTCCTTTACATTGCTCTTGACAGCTTATGAAATAAATGTAACCCTAGATTGTTTCAGTCGAATGAGTTTCTTATTATAATTCCTGCTTCCTTGGTCCACAGGTCAGTGGCCAATGATCGCTACAGCCTGTGGAAGCTGGGAATCACTCATGTTCTGAATGTTGCTCATGGGAGGATGCACTGTCAGGGGAGTCATGACTTCTATGGCTCCAATATGGATTATTATGGAGTGCCTGCTGATGACTCACCATCCTTTGACCTCTCTGGCTATTTCTTTCCCTCTGCTGAGTATATTCACAGTGCACTTGACACGGCTGGTGGTAAATACACATCGTGTTCCTTTATCACTCACTTGCATCCCAGACTGTGCAGGCCTCTCTGCAAGTCACTCATCTTAACCAGAATGAAATCCCAGAATCCGCCCATGCTTGAGGCTCATTGTAATCTTTTTCTTCTTCTTGACCAGCTCGGGTTTTTGTCCACTGTGCTGTTGGAGTGAGCAGGTCTGCCTCCCTAGTCCTGGCCTACCTAATGATCCACCACCATTACACCCTATTAGAGGCCATCAACAAGGTCAAAGAGCACAGGTGGATTTTCCCAAACAGAGGATTCCTCAAACAGCTTCGTGCTTTGGAGATTAAGCTATGCAAGACATCCTGAGTAATCCTCCATACTTCATAGATTTTCTAACCTACAGAACCTCATATGCCTGTTTTCCTCAGGATAAATAAAGGATTCAGTATCTGTCAGTGGAGGGAGATTCTGTACTTTGACTTCAATCAGTTTGTTTAATTAGTTGTACTGTGTTTGATGTGAATCATGCAGCCTGTGCACAGGATATTAACCCTTATAGTAATAGGAGTTAGATAAGTGTAATCAACTCACCCTTAGGCAGAATCCATTGTAAGACTGAATAAGAGACTAAATGACTTATTTTACATTTGTATTATGTTGAAGAAAAATGTAGATCCATTATGTTGTGTTCACAGTTAAAGACTTTGGTCATGTTTTCGTGTGTAATTTAAAACAAACACCGTGGTTGCACTTTAACTCAAAATATGATACTTAACATTCACATTTTCAAATTAAATTCATTACATTGCTTTGTTTGTATTAGGTCACTCTTGTACCACTTTATTTGAATCCCTCAGAGCTCGCATTTATGAGCAGCAAATAAATAATAGTATAATTTAGTTGTAAACAGAGTTACATTTTAAAGTGATTATTAATGTAATTGTCAGCTGTACCTCGCAAAATGAAGAATCCATAACTGGCGTGTAAACAGACAATGACTGGTTGACAACATCATGGTTGTAACCATATATAATAACACATCTCCATGAGTTGTGACTAATTTATTAACAATTTTAAACACACCTGTGAATGATGGACTAGATTTCGATCGTCTTAAAACCTTGTGTGCTCTGGATCTTTTCTGAGAACATAGGTCTTTGAAACCTGGCACTCTGCCTTGGTTTTGCTGCGATATAGGCAACCATATAACATGACAAAGTTTAGATTTCCATTTCCATCTTGTGAATCAGATGTGGAGGACGACGTGGAAGACATTTAATGTTTTCTATGTTCTTCAGAGAAAACCTGGATCATTAACGGCTCAGACCAATCTTCTAGAGCTCATTGTTAAGTGTCTTAAATGCTTGGAATACAACTTCTCAAATACAGAGAATCACCAGAATCACAAATTCACCAGCAGGTGTGGATGTTATTTAAATGTTTTATGTACACATCACCACCCCATACATTACTGTAAATTCATCATTAAGCTGAAGCAGCACTTTGAATAATCAATCAATAGCTGTATCCAGTTCAAAATAACCTGGAGACCTTTATTGACTGATTTTGTATACATTAGTACTGACTTTTTTTTTCATAACACAATCATGACCCAGAATGAAGGAAAAGTCATGACCTAAAAGAGAGGTTAATTATGTTTTTCTTCAATTTAAAAGCTGAAATGTGTGAAATAGACCTGAAACATAATAGGAGGGTTAAAAGAGACATCTGCAGCAGTGTGAGGTCTGTTTGATGTCATGTGCAGCCATCAGCAAAGCTTAATTTATACCCTCTTCAGCCAATTTACTTTCACATGATATTTATGTCAGAGCAGTAAACTAGCTGTTACAGTATTTCTGTTCCATAAATGCTGCACTACACTGGAAGTTCTGTCATCCAGTATAAGCAATGCACTTAAACATTTTGTCCTTAATTACATCCAATTATTACTGCTTTCTGGAATGATTCATCTCTGTTTGAGGCTTATTAAATTAGAGTCCCAAAGCAGTGTGAAAAGCAGATCCCGGGCTGCACTGTTTGTTGTTTTGCCCTCTGCACGAGTAAGACTACACGCTAGGTTAAGCACTAAATTGGGTAACTGTCCAGTGACAGCGGATAAACACCTGCTCGTTCAGATCATCCTGAGCCGGAGTTGACGGGAACTTGCTTTAATACGACAAACATTTGGACCTGTACTGAATCCAAGACGGGGGATTTGGACTTAACATGTCAGCCCTGAAAGAGAAGACCAAAGAATATCTGACTGTGAAGGATCTGGAGAAGGTTTTGGACTCATGCAAACTACATCTCAATGAAATCGACGAGGTCTGGCCAAAGATATATATAGGGAATGTGTAAGTATACATTTTATTACAAAGTTAAACCAGACTTTACCTTGCAAGGAGATGTGTTAACTTGTAATGTTAAACATTATCTTTCACAGAACTGCAAATTATAGTGTTATTCTGGAGTAAAAAAACATTGCATTGTGATGCCTAGCGTTCACATAAGTCTCTTTCTCTCTCTTTGTCTTGCTAGGGCAGTAGCCCAAAACAAGGCTGCCTTGGTGAAATTAGGTATAACTCATATATTAAACGCTGCACACTCCAAGCGAGGCAGCATAGGGAACCAAAGCTTTTATGGCAGCGGCTTTGTGTATTGTGGCATTCCAGCAGATGACTCGACACACTTTGATCTGGATGTTTACTTCCAGTCTGCAGCTGATTTCATTCATAGAGCTCTGAAGTCACCTGATGGTAAGACTCCTCGATGCTTCTTTTTTCAAATGAATTATCATATTTCTGCTTTAATTCTGCTTCAAAGATTGAGTAATTTGCTTTTAAAAATATGCTAGTTCTTGCACACCATGTCTTTTATTTCACTCACCAAAAATCCTTAAACCTGTCTACTCAAATTCTCCCGTCATGCCATCCTTTCAATGTCACCTGTCACCACAATGTAACACAGCTTGTAATACATAAGTGTATTTTCAGCCAGCAGTAATAATAAGAGTCTTACCTTGCAGACTTTAAGTCTATAATGTGGCCATGACTCCTTTCAAAGAAGCTATCAAGCAAAGGACAAGTTGGGATTAAAGAGACAGTCTGGCCCAGTCTGCAAAGGGACCTTAAGTGAACAAAGGCGATGAATTGTGGGAACTATTTTTAGCTCACAGCAGGAAAAAATGAAAGGCCACAGTGTGAGACGGGCAGCCATGTATGATATTAATAAGACTGAGGCCTCTCACTAATCCTCCCTTCACATCCCCCTTTCCCTTCATCTTGTCTCTTCTTTAGGGAAAGTTCTGGTGCACTGCATCATGGGAATGAGCCGATCATCGACCTTGGTGTTAGCGTACCTCATGATCTACCGTCACCTACCGCTCAAACGGGCTTTGCAGAAATTGACCAAGAAGAGAGCCATCTACCCCAACAGGAATTTCCTGGCTTTGCTGTTGGATCTGGATCTTCAGCTGACCAGAAAAAAGCAAACCTGTCAGATCCTGTAATCAAGAGACGTTTACACTTTTTAGCCACACAGCAGCGTTATTGCTAGTGATGGTGATGCCAGTCTGTCTGTTGGTCCAATAGTCCAGACATGAAATATTTGTAAAGCTTATGGGTCGTCATGAAATTTGGTTCAACTAATGACTGACTTCAGACTCAGTTGTACTTTTACCATAAAGTAGGATTATCACGTTAGCATTTTGAAGGTTAAGGAAAAAGAACATGGTATTGTAATGTATGTTAGATTGTGACAGCATGTTAACATTCAGTAAGCTTGTTGTTTGCATGCATGGAAGCACATGTTAGCATTCAGCTCACTGCACAGCTGAGTGAAGTAACCTACAGTTGAGTCTGACAAAGTATGTCGAAAGTTGCGCCAAATCTGACAACATAGAGCAGCTGAGCCTAACAGGATCGAAGAATGACTTGCATTGCTACCATGGTAACATATTTTGTTTTTATTATTAAATATGTTTTTGGGGGAAGTAATATTAAAAACTAAAAATGGCTTAACTAAAAGACAGCTTGGTTGTAGAACAAATGAAAACATAATATAAAATTAAGTGAAAACAGAGATAATACTGAACAATGAAGGCTGATTATAAGGAGATTTTAAGACTACTGATGTCTTCAGTTATGTACTTCTCATTCTTGTTTGTTGTTTTTTTCTTCAGCACCTCACTTTGTATTACAGCAGAATGGACCAAATGTCTTACGGAAAACGTTTTACAAAGTATCATTATTATTTTTTGGTAAACTCTGTAGATGTCTCAGAAAAGATAGAATGTCAACATCCAAACTCAGCATCTGTCTCTTTAACGAGACCAACCCATCAGTGTTAATAGTGTGAAATTACTTTGTGTAATCATCGAGCTGATCTCCACTGCACATTGCAAGGTTTCAAGTCTTTTGATTGTCATCTGTAGAATCATTAGGAACATCAGACACAAAAAGGTTCAGACATACATCTACTATACAGTAAAGTTTGACAGCAATGAGTCCTGCCTGTTATAAATCGTTATTGCTCAGCCTCACGCACGCACGTACACAAACACATGTGGGTGTCTTCATCGTTATCAACATTAAAGTAAACAATTCATTGGGAATAACACCTCCAAATATTATGAAAGACAAACTGCAGTATATGGAAAAACTACACTGAATTACATGGCATTGGTTTTCATTGCTGGAGTCAGTTCACTTTCAATGTGAAGGTTTCTTCTATGGATATTTTATTTGTGCGAGTAAAAAATGTAAAATAAATTTTTTTTGTATTGTTTGTACATATGTTTATCTTTCTGCACTTTTGCAAGTCAGTCTATTTTGCTGTTTTAGTGAAGACTGTCCATATTGCAGGTAAAAGTTGCCCGTTTTCTTCTGTCTGTTGAAATCTATTAAGGTAAACTGTACATCAGTTCTTGTGCATTCGTTCACTAAATTATCTACACATAAAAGTTAAAAAGCTCAGAAATTCCTGACTTTACCAAATGGCCAGGTGTTAGTTTCTCTGTAGAGAATAATCTCTAAATGTCAGGGTTTTGAATGAAGTGCAACAGGAGAGAGCCCAAATGCAAGACACTGGAGAGCCGACGTCAAGTTCAGGATTTTAATCTAAACCAAAAAACAAGCATTAAAGCTTACAGGTTGCGGAGACAGGTACATCCAAAATGATGAATAGGTAGCTCCAAGAACAGACAGAAGACAGGAGACAGGAGACAGGAGACAGGAGACAGGAGACAGGGACAGGAGACACATCACACTACACATGACAATGACCAGACAGGGAACAAACAGAAACACCAAACATTTATACACAGGGACTAACAAGCAGGGCAGGAGCAACACAGGTGACTGGGATCAGGGTTAACGAGGCAGCGAGACAGAAGGGGAAACCAGAGACACAACATGGCAGGCAGATTACTGGAGGTGAGCAGACATAACACTAAACATATCAAAGTAAGAAGTAACAGATCAGAAAATCAAAAATAACAAACTAATCCAGACACCATCAGACATATCACCACTAAACTAACACCAACAAGGAACACAGACAGAAGCTAAGTAAAACACTGAACTGGGAACTAAGACACCAAGAAGACAGACATGAGTAACAGACAGAGACGGACATGAGTGAAACACAACAGACTATATAACAGATACTGGACTGATCAAAATATCAAAAACCCACAGAGAGCTAAACTAAACATAGCGTACAGGCAGAATGTGACAGTAAAGACTGTGTCAGTATTAAGCTCAAGTATAGCAGCACTGATCTAATTCTCTTGCTATTGGAAAAAGCCCTGTCCTATCCTCTCTCCTGTGCTGGTAGCTCGGATAACCTTTAAGGAATGCAGAAGATGATGCCAGAATTATTTTGGGCTGAGATTCAGATGTTAAAATAGCAAAAAAGGTTGCAGGGTAGATTACCAAGGAGAACGCAGACAGTTGTGCTGTCGACCTACATGCAGCTCAGAGAGACCTTGAAAAGCAACGTTTCCAGCCAAGGCAAGTGTTTACTAATAATGTGTTCTTATATATTTGCTGCAGATAGAAGTCCATGTTGGAAAATATTTATTAGTATACACAGTGTCTATAACCTACAGTGTATGGATTTATAGCATTATATTCCTTTGTTTGCAAGGTCACCATGTTTATAAAGCACTTTAATAAATGAGTATGTACTGTGATGATACTGCCTTGCCTCATGGAATTACCACACTTTTTTCTTCTACTAATTTGCTTACAAATCCAGACGAACCATATCCAAAAGGCTAAAGAAGTGTAATTCATAAAACCACCAAGAAGAGGCCCGGAGGAGGTAAAAAGCCATTTTTGTTTGCCCTCCATGTTAACCGTGGGCACTTTCCCATACATAGCATCTTTAATTACACAGAAGTAGAGCAGGAAGGACAGGTTAGCCTAAGGGGGGAGGCTATGAAAGCAGCGCTGCAGCTCAACTTGTGCACCAGGGAAATCAGTTCTCTGCCCTGACAGTGGGAGGGAGGGAAGGGTTGTACTTATAGATCAATGAGAAGAAAGAAGAGCCTCCAGGTACTCTGGGCACATGCAAAGACACACTTTACTGTTCAAGACTCCCACACTATGCATGTAGCATATGTTGGGTCAGATGCAGCGTTTTTTGCATACACATGCCCTGGGAGACACGCATGCAACCACACACATGCAGAAATGGATAACGCCATCATGATGTTTGAGTGCACCTTCATATGCCACAGCAGCTTAACAAAAGGTCACTAAAACAGATTTGGTCTCAATGACTCATCCTTGTGGACACGACAATAAGTCTCCAACATTATGTCTCCACACGACAGCAGAATGCAAATAAGAAGCTAAGCTGTCATCGGTTTCTTTACTATAACAATGCATACACATCGTTTGTACGTCCTCAGCCCAGAGCAGAATCACTCAGCTGCCTAAATGGATGCTAATGTATACAGCATGCATAGTATAAGTCTCTCTAAAGCCCAGTCTGTAAATTGTAAATGCACAGGTTAGATTTGCCTGCAGGAAATGAAAAGCTGATGGTAAAAGGTCTTGAATACCAATTTTTCTGTATCTCTGGAGATAAATAAATAAACATACCAATTGCTACTGAACTGTAGATAAAATAATGAGTACACCATAAGGTCATCTTACAATTATGTGTTCCTGTGGTCCTTTGCTGCTGTGGAGTGCATTTACTGGCATATTTAAATAGTATATTTAAGGGCTATATGCCTGTATACCTGATCTTCTAATTAATTATCCTTACTCTAATCCCTTTTTCTGTAATTTCTCTTCCAGTGTTACCTAAGATGAGGGTCTCACTTCATAAAGCCTATTAGAAGTCATCAATGGAGTTATTTAGCATACAAATTAAGATCATATGGTGCCTGAAACTGTATCTGCATTTCCTTTCTTAAACTATAGATGAACAAGGTAAAGAAAAAAACATTTCAGGTCCTTTGGGTGACTTTTCAGTACTCAGGTGTGGTCCAAAAATCTTTATAGCAATGACCAGTTCTGTTGGTTGAACAAACCCACTGCTCAAACTCCCAGTTAAACTCTGTTAGAGTTTCATATCTTGTGGCACTTCTGTGTGACAGGTTGTAGAAGTGGTAAAAGGGGAGAATCCAAACATGCCCAGAGGCTTCAGCTGCTTGGCGAGCCCTGAGGGGGCAAATGTCAGGTATGAGACCCCCCCGGCTTCAGAGCTCCAGAGGCTGATGTGGACAAAGAAAGGGACCAGCAGCCATATGGATGAGGTTCAACCCAGGATCTATATTGGAGACATGTGAGACCAGAACCTTCAAATTTCATGCTTTACAATAACAGTAATATACTATACTTTACTAATATATACAAGTTATCACCAGTAAAATGGTTATATTACTATTAAACAATTAACAATAATGTATTCTTTGAAAAAAGCAGCTATAATCAAAATTTTTTATATCACACTTGTACACAAAGTGTGTTTTAGTGATGAATCCACAGATAATTTTCACCTGACTCAGTTGCCCTCAGTCCTTTGGAGCATTGCAGGGTCTTATTAGGTGGGGGTAGGCCACCCACATGCAACCTGCCCAGCATTATATGGAAAAGTTAGTGACTAACTAGATGGTGAACATAGTGGAGCAAGATATTTGCCTCAGGAGTTGGTGGAGAAAAAATATATGATTTGCATTCATCAGACAGCCATAAACATGTCACCAAATAAATGCTAATGTTGCTTCATACCCGCTGGATAAATAAGCTGTTATGTAAACTGTTTGCTAACAAGTTCGCCATGTCGACATTAGCTTATATGTCAGTGTTTACAGCTTGTTTCTGCTGTCCGTTAATGGCAAACAAAAATCAGTTGTTGCATTTATGTGTCATTCTTCCCTAATAAGTTAGTAGGCCCATCTATACAGTACTTTTGGGTTGCCAGGTTTTAAAGCCACATGTAAATGAAAGAACCCAAGATCTTTCATTTACGATATTGTTGGAGAAATATACTAAACATTAGCATGCTAACCCTATGAATGTTAACACGCTAACATAAACGTTAGGCTGTACACTACACATTAGCACATTACAGTGCAAACTTTACCCAAATTAGCCATGGCTGTAGCATTAGGATGAGAACATGCTAACATGCTAAATACGAAATGTTAGCACCCAAATAGAAGACAACAGTTAATGTTTCACAGTTTTGATGTCTGTCTGTGGGATTTCTGTCACCACCCAAATACGATGGTGGCGAAATCAATTTCATTTGTGGTGTATTGAATCTTTTTGGAAAACAGTATCTTTGTTGCTGTGGATAATCCTCAGACCTCGCTGTCAGCAGTTTATATATGTGCTTTCTTTGTGAAAAAGTTGTAATTTTTATTTATTTATTATTATTCATTATTCTTGTTATCTGGGTGAACATCTTAAAGCAAACTACTATGGTACACCAACAAAAAGGTTTAATAACTTACATGTGTATCTACAACTTGACACCACAAAAGTTATTTTAATGTATGCATCAAACAGGGTATTAATTATCTATAAAGCATTGCTAATGTTTTATTAATCATAAACTTTAAATAATTTATGAGCATTCCTTTTTGTGCAGTGGTCACTATCATAAACTGTGCTCTCAGAAATGACAAACCCTTCTTTCATTTATCTGACCTGACAGATAATTCTGCTTTTTCCCTTTAGGTATGCAGCCAAAGACAAGAGGACACTCCAGGCTCACCACATCACCCATGTACTTAATGCTGCTGATGGGAAGTTCAACGTGAACACAGGCCCCAGCTTCTACAGAGACACCAAAATCACTTATCACGGAGTGGAAGCTTTTGACATGCCCTCCTTTAACTTGAGTCCCTTCTTTTACCCAGCGGCCAATTTTATCAAGGATGCTTTGAGCTCGCCCACAGGTGAGGAGCTCTCACTATGCTCAAGGTATTTCTCATCATTCTTACACATTAACTTGGAGAAGATGTTAGTTTTTCTGCAAGGCAAAGTACAGAAACATTTGTCAGTCAATTCCCATTACAGCACCCCCCAGTTGTGTTAGTCATTAAAATGCAAATCAAACACTAAACATAATATCAAGCTAATATCTTTCCCCCATGGTAATCTTCTCATAAGCTCAGACCTTGGCTAAGAAAATTGGTTTTAAATGGATTGCCCTGGTAATTTGTAAGCAACACTTTTATTGGACATGGAAATTACACAATTATGTTTGTGGCCTGTGCCTGCCTGGCCTGTTATGCAAAGTGAAGTCGGTATCTGACATGACAGTAATAAGATGAGGCCTCCTCATTCACATGCTGGCTGATCGGGGGCTCCAGTGTGTGGTGGGGCCTACAGTAATCCCCGGCAGAAATACACAGACGCCAAGACAGTTCAATTACGCGCTCCTATGCGCCCTAATCCTAAAGCCCGATAAGGAACCACGGATTACCGTGTGTTGAAACATTTGTTGCAACATTGTTGAAAACTTTTAGTCAGGAGTTAGAAGTACTGCTCTCTGTGATGTGCATGGGTTTTAATCCACAGTTGAGTAACAATTTAGACGTTCACCACAATAATCCAGTCATTGCATGGTTGTAAATATAGAAATGGAGCATGTAGAGGATGGCTGAGCTCTTGACTGATCCACAAGGAAGTGATGTTGAGTTTTTGTTTCCGCTGGTTGGCAGGTAAAGTGTTTGTCCACTGTGCGATGGGTCTCAGCCGCTCATCCACCTTGGTTCTGGCCTACCTGATGATCCACGAGAACATGACGCTGGAGGATGCGATCAAAGCTGTCAGTGCCAACAGGAACATCTCCCCTAACTCTGGTTTCCTGGAGCAGCTCCGAGAGCTGGACAAGGAGCTGCACTGCCAAGGATCATCAAGGAGCTGGAGTGTCAACGGGCGGACATGAGATAAAATCCATCAATCCAAAAATTTGGATTACATTGTTGCCTCCTGTCAGTATCTTAGTTTGAACTAAAATTAAGATATTAATGTAAAAACATGCAATATAAATTCCATTTTTTGTGAAAAAATACAGTGACTTATATTACTACCATTAAAAGCTTTTTATTGTAACAAATATCATTTAGAAATCAAAACCAACAAGGAATTTATACTAAAAAAGAGTATTTTCTGTGTAGATGCTGCTCCATTATTTTCCAACTACTAAAAACAACAAATAAAGAGCCATGAAGTTGTACTGGGTGACATATTATTCCTTTACAAAAAACAGTTTTAAAGAGCAAAATGGTCAAAATACTAAGTGGACTTTACAGTGAGATCGTTTTGTCAACTGCTGTTGTCAACATTTAAGTCTCATTGGCTTTCTTGGCGAGTTAGATGAGAAAACTGACACCACTCTCATTTCTGTATGCTAAATATCAAAGGTTCAGTGTGTAATATTTAGGAGGATCTATTGACAGAAATGCAATATAATATACATAACAATTTTTTCAGTGGTGTGTAAAGAGCCTAAATAATGAAACGTTGTGTTTTTATTACCTTTGAATGAACCATTTCTATCTACGCACCGCCATGTTTCCACAGTAGCTGAAACTGACAAGTCTACAGAGCGCATTTCGTCACTATGTTGAATACAAAGAAATTGAAGAACAACTAGCAACAGTAGTAGTAGCAGTAGTAGTAGTAGTGAAGTGAAATTGGCACATGTATTATTTAGCTCAAGAGCCCACAGCGCGTGTCGACCACCGTAGCTTCTCCTGCTTGCTTGGAAAGGAAGGTGGGAGCGCTGCATCCGTGTGGTTTAGGAATAATGAGAATTTTTTTCTCTTGAAATCTTTATTGCAAAAGTGTACATGGGACATAAAGAAGTATACAGGACTTTGATTTATGCAAAATCGTTTATGCAAAATCCCATATTGCAAATACATATTTTGCAAACATGCAATCTGTAATATGGTTATAATAACAGTTAGTTTGTTGTCCATGTAGAATGAACTAGATGTCTGTGTGTCCAACACATCTTTGTAATAGCGTCCATGTTGATTCCACATTCCGACTTAAGACCACATGAACAAACAAAGAAGTCGGAAGAACAGCTTCACAACTCAGGAAATGGGACCATCCGAGGAGCACGTGAATCCACCATGAGCCAACATTCACCACTATTCCACTAAAACTCACACTGAACCTTTAAGCTAGAGTGAGAAAAGCTTAGCTTAGCATAAAGACTCGAAGCACCTCTAATGCTCACTAATTAACAATTTATATTTAATTTGTTTAATCTGTACACAAAAACATAAAAACTAAGTTTTGATTTCACGGGAAGTTACTAGTTCTTGGCTGGCCAGTTACTTCCTGGAGTCTCAGCTAGTTGCTTGGCAATCTCACAGTAAGACTCCAGGTCTGTGTCCGAAATCACTCTCTATTTTTTAATCGCCATTTTATTTGGCTGTCTGATTTCGGGGTGTGTAATTGATGCTTTATAGTACCCTTAAAAATACTCTCATTATTTATGGAACGACAGTGACAAAAATGTCTGAAATCTCAATTTACTGCTCACTGTAAACTAAAGAATTTCTATTAGAGAGGGAGCAGAGAGTGAAAGAACAGGGAGTGATTTCTGACATGGAAATTGCAGTCTCTGAGTGGTTTCAGAATAAACTACAGCATCTATGTCCATCAGTAAATGGAGAAATATGTCACAAAATGCAACATGTTTTATGTTTTTTCATAGTTTTTTTATGATAATATCAGTCAGTGGCTAAATCCACATTAATTTAAATAAAATAAATTAATTGTTGGCTTGGTCTCTGCAGGTGATGTGTTGTTGATAATGAAAAGATCAAATATCACCAGCATTATCCTTTAAATTGCCTGTATTAGGTACAAAATAATGTGGTTTGAACTGACTCAATGTGGCAACCTGACAAAATTTCCTCACCATGTTTTGAATCACTTACACTATTACAACTGTAAACACTGCTGTGGTTCTGTAGTTGAAGTTGTCACCACACAAGCAGCCTGGCTTCTGTCACAGCCATCTGAGGAATAAATAGCACTCTGCTCCTGCCCAGACTCAGGCATCTTCAGCTGTCTCGTTCCAGCGTGGCTCAGCCTCTAAACAACACTGATACTTTGCTCAGATGGCAAACAGAGCGAGCTGCACCAATAAGGTCAGAGTTTACTGTAATTCCTTTCCAAATGCCTGCAGGAAGAAAAACTAGCAGGACAGCAGAAATAACATCGTGAATTTTCCATCCAGGAACATCAAGTATTTGGGGAAATGATCTAACTGTTATCTACGTGTTGAATTGAATATAATTTGTGATAATTATACAACAACACTGAAGTGAAAGGTGCGGATATGAGACCAGAGGAGGAGCTGGAATATCTGACACCACCCACCTGCGATCTGCTCAGCCTTCTGCTGAAGAACAGACGCCCCACTGGAGCTGTCAACGAGGTTTGGCCCAACCTCTACATCGGAGACGCGTAAGTGACATTATCACTTAGGGGCCCTGCTGCAGTATGCTGATCTGACTGAGAAACTGTTGCTGCTAACAAGTCCTGTATTTGGCCAACTGATGGGACAAATATAAAAGCTGTACCACCAGTGATGCATTTAAAAACATACGGTCAGAGAGCTGGCCACGGGCGCAAAAAATCTCTAAAGGCAACATTCCTTGTATCATGTCTTGTGTCATTTACAGGGCTACAGCTCAGCATAAAACCCTGTTAGTGAATCTGGGAATAACACATGTCGTGAATGCTGCAGATGGCCCCCAGCACATTGACACCGGGCCACATTTCTACAAAGACATCAACATACAGTATCATGGAGTAGAAGCACCAGACTGTAAAGACTTTGACTTGAGCCTGTTCTTCACTGAGACGGCGGATTTCATTCATAGTGCTCTGAGTCAGAAAGGTATGAGTGCATCTTGGTATAAAAATGTGACAAGATGCACTGTCAGGCTGAAAATCTGACTGTAATGTTAACAAAGTCTGAGAAATGATGAGTCAAAAATGCACAACTTGTTTTGTTTGCATATATAAAATGCCAGAGGGAGTAAATTAATATTATCTATTAAAACTAAACTGTCTCAGCTCAACTGCTGCTTGACAAGATTATGGACTTAAAATATGTCCTTCTCCAAAACATATAAAATAACTTTGTGTGAAAAGGTTGAAATTGGGCTTTGTGGCCAAATGATGAGTTTGGAGACTCCAGAGATCAGCCATTTGCTCTTTATGTTGAGGAAGACATTCTCATTCTCATTTTCATAATATCTTCAACTCAATTTTATGTGGATAAATATATGCTTTTTTATTTAAGAGAATCAATTTTTTTACATTTCGCTCCAAAATCTACAACTACATTTTTGAAGTAGAAAGAACTTGACACTTGAGTTTTGCTTTGTGAGATTTTTTTCACATAATTTTGTTTAGTCTTGTCAGTTTGTTTTCATTCCAGCCTAGTTATGCTGAGTATATTAAACCATGAGCTAACTGTCTTGTTATACACCTACATTAATACGTGCTGAAATTTTAAGTGATTCTGTCTCTTGTCCGTGTAGGTAAGGTGCTTGTCCACTGTGCACGAGGAATCAGTCGCTCAGCGACTCTAGCACTGGCCTTCCTCATGATCAAGGAAAGACTTACCCTTGTAGAGGCTGTGGAGGTTGTTCGCAGGCGCAGAAACATTCTTCCAAATGTTGGATTTCTGAATCAACTGTGTCACTTGGACTCCTCCTTGGCCCTGCAGAGGAAAACTGCACAATATCAATGAATGAGATGAAAACTTTTGACTTGACTTTTCCTAAAGGACTTGTGCCTTGACTGGGACTCTCAAATTCCTTAAGACATAGCTTGTACTTGTTTGAATTACGTGAGACCTGCCTTGAACTTGTCTCAAATGACTTCTGACTTGACTTGCACTAGTCTTGAATGATTTGTGTCTTGGTTTGGATCTGTCTCAAATTTCTTAGACTTGAATGACTTAAGACTTGCCATGATAGAAATTAGACTTGACTAAGATTTGTCTTGCATTATTTGAGACTTGACTTGGAATTGATCTCCAGTGGTCTCACTGGTCTCCAAAAAACATAAAAATAGCTCTGCTGTGAACTTGTTTTCTTGTTGTGCAGAAATCATTTGAAACCAACGGCTGTCTGCAATGTCAGAAAAAATACATCAAACAAATCTGAAACAGTACCGTGCACATTTGAAAACAGTCAGCAAAAATGGAAAGTATACAATGTTTGTAGTTAAGGAGCTGAAACATACTGAAACACTGGTATGCTCCTTTAAGTTTATGTCTAATACACAGCACAATCAAATCACAGGCCATTAAAACAAATGTAGCACAACTGTCAAAACCCCTGCTGTACTTGAACAACACAAAGACAATGTATTCCTATAAATAAACAATGCTCCACTTATATATTCACATTTCTCAAAATACTTTGTCTTAACTGCTGCAATCCAGTGTTGTACAATTAAAACTGTGATGTCTAAAGAGGCTTGATACAAGATGATAAAAATATGCCAGCATGGTTCTGAATGTGTATACAGATTCAGGTCAGGCTTTGAAAAGAGATGAAACGCTGAAGCCATCTTAATAAGAGATGCTCTCCAGAGCACACTGTGAGAAAGAGAGAGAGAGGGAGAGAGATGCTGTCAAAATAAAAGGAATTGGATATCACAGGTTTAATGATTCCTCTGTCAGAATGAATGATGGCAGAGTATAAAGATGTGAGGGAAAAATAAAGGAGTATGATGGTGTGAAAACTCCGTCTGACATGTTAGCAGCTTCATCCAGCCATTCTGCAATACAGTCATCATCACACTCTCACTTTGGGGGCTTGCATTTAGATCACTGAATGGACCATGCATATCATATATTGGGGAATCAAAGACATGTGCCATCCTGTGAATAAAACCTCATCTGTCTAACAGTCTGACACATTTCAGTTCTTTTGGCCCATAGAGGCTCCACAAAATGCAGAACATACTTAACGGGTGTTGTGAGGCAGCGCTTACACGGTTTCTCCCAACGTCTGAATATATGCAGAAAGGCTAAGAGTGACTGACACAATTTCAAGGAGTCGCTCATACGACGACAGCAAAAGCTCCAAGTGCTCTGTTCACTCCAGTGAATATGGGTATCCTTTGGCAAGTGCAAAGTTTGGATAAGCACGGCTTCCTGCCAGCAGTGGAGATTAAAGTTGTGTGTTTAGAAGTGGATGGCAGGGACTGGCTGGGCGGAAGTTTTCCCCACAGGCAGGGAACGTGGCAGCTAAGGTCAGGGGCCCGCCACATCACAGCCCTAAAAATATCCTCTGCATTTGATGCTCGTCACAGAGCGGTTATACAATCTGTGCCCTGACTTGAGCCTGCCAGAATTAAACCATAACATGTTCTGCCTTTAAGGACTGCTGCACGACAAGCTGCCAGAATGATATAAACAAGATTTTCAGGCAGGAAGAAGAAGGACTTGGATTTCTCGGTGAGTGGTATTGGATGTGCATGGGAAAAACAAAAAAACAAAACTTTCACTTTTTCAAGACTGAAGAGCGAGGAAAGTGGAAAGGAAACAAAAAATAAAGTGTGGCATTTCTTTCCCCCCCTTAAGCTAATAAATCATGTGTGAAAGGAAGCCACAGTGAGAAAATGGCTTCTCGCAACTCAAAGACTGGCACTAAGATAAATGTTACAAAGGCAGCAGAGGAATCCAGTCCAGTGGATGAATATGTCACACCTGGGGGCTATGAGCTGGAGAAAATCCTAAACCGTGGGAGTGTGGCTTACACTCATGTCAATGAGGTCTGGCCTAATGTCTACATCGGGGACGAGTAAGTAAAATGAAAACTATTACATTACTAAACAGAATAAAATAATAGAGGATTAAAATAATAATTCTTCTTGCAGGGAGACTGCAAAGAACAAGTATAATCTGAAGAGGTTGGGGATTACGCACATTTTGAATGCAGCAGAGGGGACATGGAACAACGTGGACACCGGATCGGGTTACTACAGTGACATGGACATTGTCTACTATGGCGTCGCAGCAGAAGACGTCACAGCCTTTGACCTCAGCCAGTATTTCTTCTCTGCTGCCCGATTTATAGAAGAAACACTGAGCAATCCCCAGAGTAAGATGACACATGGTTAAAGGGTCATTTCAGCCACATCACAGAAAGGACTTGGTCTTGATAGTTTTGATTTTAATGACAAGGCATTGAGATATTTGTACATAAACATCCACCACCAACCACCTGAGAATGTAGGGCGATGACGGTCATTTTGTTTGTAGGGCTCGAAAGCATTGAAAAAATGTTGTCTTTGAAATGTAATTCTTCAGAGCTTTGAGTGAGAACAACAATTGAAATCAGATTCACCGCCATGGTTACTGAGTTGGTGGCAAAAGGTGTTGCTTGTAGGTGTCCAGGTTTTGAGATATTCACCCTTAAACTTCAGCCACAATCCTTTTATAATGGTATGAAAGAAATGTTCATTTGTGGAGCTCAAAGTAATGAAAGCCTACATTTGAAAAACCCAACATGAGTGTATATTTTTCACGAACAATGTCCTGGTATCTGGGGATTGTATACAGACTTTTTCAGTGAGGTCTGTGGATTATCTAAGACATTGTTTCGGGAAAGTTTTATATTCTTTGAGGACCACAAATGTTTTGAGTTTTGTGGCAGAAATCTCAGAAAACATACTGAATTGAGTTAATAAAACTAATAGGAAATGGAACATGTTTTGTTGTTGTTTAGGTGAACTGACCCTATAAATTGATTAAGTTCAGCATGGACCTGCCCAACAATTGATTTTCCGAATCTCAAACCAACCATTTTTATCCACACCAAACACATATCAAACACCAAGCAGCTAAATTAACTTTTATAATATATATATAGAATATATATGAAAAGATTCGTCTGCACAATACAAAGAGAAAGAGCCCTGTAGGATGTAGTGGGCCTGTAAAGCAGAGGAGTGCTTTTGGTCATAGGAATGTTGATAAATATATCAGTATTTCAATGTTTTGGAAGCTTTATGTTATTTGAAATGTGGTTGTATGGACAGAAATAGTATTTTGAAGAAAACTCCCAATAAAAGTGAACATATAAACAGTAAATATGGCCATTTGCCTGGTATATTTTTGATTTTTTTTTTTTTTTGATTGTTTTACAGTTGTATTCCAGGTGTATTAGAAGATAGTCAGTGGCATTATAATCTATAGGATGATGGTTTTGATGGTGATGTAGCTATTAAAATATAGATTTTATACCAGGTGAAGATAAAAATATATTTTCCTTTATTGCATTTCCATTTACTCTTTAATAGAAAAATTATTCATATTCCTTCGCTTCTGACCTATCAAAGGAGACCAGAATTATGCATCTAGGCCTAATAGTTGAGGAGTTATTGATGATTCATTTTGGGTATGTTATTTTAGGTGTGTTTGTTTCCAAGAGGTTCAACTGAGCATAGTTATTCCAATTGTGTGATTTCTGTATCTCCAGATAAACTGCTGGTGCACTGCGTAATGGGAAGGAGTCGGTCCGCCACACTTTTCCTCGCCTACCTCATGATCTGTGAGAAGATGACGGTGGTTGACGCCATCGAACATGTGAAAAAACGAAGGCGCATCATCCCCAACTGGGGCTTCCTGAAACAGCTGCAAGAGCTGGACATGCACCTCCTGGAGAAAAGGAAAGACTCTACAGAGCAAGTTGAGGCCCAGGTCAAGTCTCAAGTCATCAGGGACAATTAAAAGTCTCTTGTCATGTAAGACAAATCTAAGTCACATCAAAAGTCATTCAGGACAAGTCTAAGTCACAAGTAACATGAGACAAGTTCTAGTCAAGTTTTAGGTCTATCACAGCAACTCAAACCCCAAGTAATTCGGTACTAGTCAAGTACCAAGACTATCACAGCAAGTCGCAAGTCATTTAAGACAAGTCCAAGTTGAGTCTCAAGTAATTTGTGACAAGTTTAATTAAAGTCTCATGTCTATCACAGTTAGTCTCAAGCCAGGATTCAAGTCACTGAAGACAAGTCCAAGCTAAGTTTCAAGTCATTGGGGACTATTAAAAGTGTCTGGTCATGCAAGACAAATCCAAGTCACATCAGAAGACATTCAGGACAAGTCAAAGTCACAAGTATCACAAGTTCTAGTAAAGTCTCAGGTCTATCACAACAACTCAAACAAACCCCATGTAACTTGATACAAGTCCAAGTCAAGTCTCATGTATATTACAGCTCAGTGTCTCAAGTAATTTGAGACAAATCCAAGTTATATCACAAGTCTAAATATGCAAATTGCAAGTTAAGATGAAAGTATTTCAGGTCTCTGAATGCTGAACATTTTTCCCTTTAAAGATGTGTCAACCATATTTTTTCATAACAGACCAATTGCTTGTAGTAGAGGCCTAATAATTAAATATTCAATATGTGTGGCCATGCAATGCCTGCCCATTGTTGTTCCATTTGTTTTTACTTTTCTGTAAATTTGCCAAGTACAAACCTGAGAAGTAAAAGTTTTTGCTTTTAAGTTTCACGTCAAGTCATGTTTTTAGAAGGTGAAAAGTCAAGTCAAGCAGTCAAGTCCAAGTAAAGTTTCCTTTTTTTTTTTTTTTTAAATACTATTTTGCCCAGAAAACAGCCGCCTGGATTACCACGAATTCAAAATCTATAATTGCATTCTCATTCTGTGACAGGCCTCAGGCTAGAGTTTCAAATTAAAGGAGAACAATCAAGTACATGGTCAATCATAATTTATTCTTATGCTAAAATGTACAGCATTTTAAGTAACTGACAAAAGGAGAAAAGTCATAAATACAAGAAGGTCATTCTGTCCGATTTTTGTGCACATAGCCAGGTATTTCCCCCGTTCTTACCAGCAACTCTGTACAGGTACAAAGGCTACAAAAGAGCAATATAAACAAAAACACAAGTACAAGTTGCGTTTTACATGCAATCCATTAGCTTAGTTTGGTCTATTCACAGGCTCTATTCTTCTACACTTCGGTAAAATATAAATCCAACATTTTATAAAGATAGAAAACAAATCTACAGATGGAATGAAAACGTAGCTTTAAAGGCATTATGTAAAATATCAACTTTGGACTAAATTTATATTTTCTTTATTGTTATTCATCGTTATAATCATTTAGTTCTTTTAAATTCTGCCACACTTCTGGACATTTTGAAATGTTTTAGAATTTTCAGGGTACAAACACTGAGATATGCTTTGTTATTTTGACAGAAATCAGTCTGCTTTATTAAACAGAAAGCTGCCTCAAGGAGATCTGTTACAAAAGACTTCAGAATTATACATACATAGCAATAAACCTCTCAAACCGAACAGAAAACAGGACTAAGTTTACATTTTTTTTACATTATTAGAATTAACAAAATATAGTTTCATCTTTCTCCCTGTGGAGGGAAACCTAATAAAGGCCAGATATCTTTAAAATGGCTTGCTATTAAGCACAACACTTGTACAGTACTACTCAATGCACTGTCACTAACAGAGACTGAAGCATGCTAGTTTTCACTTTACAAAATAAGTACAATAATTTAAATATACAAAGGCATGAGTATAGTACAAACTAATTGTCAGCACTGTTAGACAGGTACACTGAACAGGTTCAAACAGCCACCAACTCCACTTGTAGCAGGCACATTACATGGCTTCATTTGAGGCTGCTACACGACTGCAAGACCACTGATGAGATCTCTACCTCTGAGCACTGAACCCGCCTGCTGTGAAGACGCATCAGAGACATTAACACTAATTAAATAGATTTTCATCGTAATGTTGTAAGGCTTCCCATCTGGAGAAATAAAAATACTTTTTAACATTAGCTTCAAAGTTTACTCATTGATGAAAATGTTTGCATTCTTTCCAAGTGCTGCTGCTGGTTTTTAAGTAATAAACAAAAACACCAAAAAAAAACAAAAAAAAGGAAAAGGCCAGATCAGTGCATCTTTAAACAGCAAATGCACGTGAGAAGAAACAGCTCAGTCCTGCGGCAAGTTACCGCCTCATGAAGGGCCCTTTCAGGGACTGCTTGGACATGCCTGTGTTCATGTAACCATGGTGACCAGCTGGAGTGTACACCATGTTGCCATGTGGTGGAGCTTGCATGGGCTGCTGGGGGTATGGCTGTGTTCCCATCATGCCCATCTGCATAGAGTACTGGGGTGACTGGTTCATATAGGCATGGTTGCCATGGTAGCCACTGTTCATCATGGGCTGGCTCATGCTGTAACCATTCATGGCGTTTAGGGAGGACATATTCATGGAGTTGACGTTGTAGGCTGGTGCCGGCATGATGTTCACGCTCATGTTCATGCGCGGCATGGCGGCCAACGTCCTGGACGGCGCCTGCATGGCCACAGCCTGTGGCGGCCGGGCGTACATCTGCTGCTGGTGGTGTGACAGCGGGGCCGACTTGGAGCGCGCAGAGATGTGACTCTTGGAGGCCATTTGGGGCTGGATCCGCTGCGAGGGCGGGATGCCCATGTTACGCTGTAGCATCATGGGCGGCGGGGAGCTGAGATTCGGAGGCGGGGTCATGGTGGCCTGCACCTGTGAGTTGGGGACTCGATGTGGCGTCTGGGACAAGGAGACCAGGCTGGAGTGCTGAGATGACAACGAAGGGGTGTTTGCATAAGATGTGATGGGGTGTGAGGCCGAGTGGTTGAAAGGCAGCGAGTGAGGGTGCTCTATGAACGTGTTGGTGAACTGCTGCAATTTGGCCAGACTGAGGCCAGACGACTGAGAGTAGTGCCCGCTGCCATACTCCCCCTGGTGGTTGATCCTCTCATAGAGGGTGAAGTTTGGGTTGCCAGATTCAGGAATGTCTGCCAGCTGCATGGTGGTGGTGAAGTTGGTGGGGATGGCACACTGTGCCATGGGCTGCTGCTGGCTGTGCTGACTATGTTGATTGTGAAGGCTATGCTGAGCGTGCTGATTGTGCTGGCTGAGCTGATTGTGCTGCAGGTGGTGATTGTGGTGGTGACTATGCTGGTTGTGGGCATTGTGTTGACTGTGCTGGCTTAGCTGATTGTGAGGACCGTGCTGATTGTGTTGGCTGTGCTGATTGTGTGGGCCGTGCCTGCTGTGGGAGTTGTGTTGACTGTGTTGGCTGCGCTGGCTGTGTTGACTGTGCTGGCTGTTGCTGGGAGGCCTCTCGACCACCACACAGCCCTGCGGCGACTTGACGTTGCAGTGCGGCGGCGAGCTCAGGCTGTTCTGCTGAATCATCCCGCAGCTGCCGGGGTTGACGGCAGCCATTTGCTGGCTCACGGCACAGCTGCTCTGGGCCAGGCCACTTGGGGGGATGCTGCCATAGGAGCAGCTGTTCTGGGAGGGGCCTGCCCCACAGATGCTGCCCCCTATGGTGGAGTCATAGCTGCTGGGGTTGTCGTAGTTCTCGGTGGTGCTCTCGATGCTGCCCAGATCACTGAAGCCGCTGTCCACCACCTGCTGCGAGTGATCTGACACCGATGGCACATCCATCATGGGGCTTGTCTCCATGTTGTGGAGCGAGGGCACTGAGATGGCACTGTGGTCAGGGCTGATCTGAGTGTAGCCGCTCTCCAGGATGGAGACAGCCGGGCTGTTAACAGAGCGTACCGACTGGCTGGGATGGGATTGCGCTGAAGAAAGGGGACTGCTGTGGTCCGACTGGGGGCAGTCATCCAGCGAGGTGAGCTGGGGGCTCTGGGCCACGTGAGCGTAGGTCTGCAGGGTCCTGCAGGGCTCCTGGTTCTCCACACACTCCTGGAAAACACTCTCCTGTTCAGTCTCCCGCGTCAGGGACTGAACAGCTTGGGCTGTCTCTGAGTCAATCTCTGTGCAGATTGGGGGATCCTCCCTCAGCATGGAACTGAGTGTTGGCCTCTCTGCAGGCTGAGGAAGTGGGTGATCTGGACAGGGACTGGATGTGCTCTCCTCCTCTGACTCAGAGTCTACAGGATTATCAGAGTCTACAGCAGCTACTGAAGCAACTGCTACTGCTTCAGGCGGTGGTGTTGCTACTGTCGTTCCTGTCTCTGCCTCCTGGATGCTTTCTGCAGCAGTAGCTGGTTTGTCTTCACCACATGGTACTGTAGAAACCTGCTGACTCAACTCAGAGTCATTGTCTTCTTTTGGATCAAAAAAAGCAGGGGTGCACTCTGGTATTTCTTTCGAACTCTGTTCCAACACTGCTTTGCTGCTCTCAGGTTCTGCTGTTTTGCTGTGACTATCATCTTCGTCATCTGCATCCTGATCCTCTATTTGAGTCTGCTGCCTGTCCTCCTCCTCATCTTCTTCATTGTCATTCGCCAGTGATACAGAACCCACTGTGTTGTGTTCTACATCTTTGGCTGGGGAGTCCTGCCCATGTTCACTCTCTGGTTGGTCTTCTTCAGGTGGTTCTTGGGATTCACCCCTGTCCTCAGGCCTTGGGGACATGGCCCCAGGAGAGGCAGCAGGTGAACACACTGGAGAAGCCACTGGTGAACCTTCAGGGGAGCTTGACTTCTGGGAGCCATGATCAGCAGGACTCGGGGAATCAGAGGGGAGCCTCTCTAGCATTAAACCTGGACTCGCCGCGTCTCTGTCCGCTTTGCTGCTCTCGTCTGCGCTGACAATATCCTGGTCTGGGCCCCCTTTCGCTTCTTCAGTCTGAATATGGTGCTGCTCTGCCTCCATTGGGGTTTCAGGAGGTGTGTAGAGGTTGAGCTTGAAGCCCATCTTTCGTTCATTCTTTAGCCTCCATTTAGGAGGGCCACGTTTCACTCCTTTTGGCCAGCCCTTCTTCCGTTTCACTGGACGGGGTCTGCTGGGTCTCTTAGAGAGGGCGTCAGGTCCTACAGAAAAAAAGAAAAAATACTTTACTGTTTTGCCAGAGAGACATTTAACAATCTGCTTTAAAACTATTTTATGAGAAATAATGCAGAACAGATTTTTTATTTTCAGCAGCCAAATTGCAAATACCTTCATTCCAGTGTTCAAGTTTGTCTTTGTGTGCATTCTTCTCCAGCCTTGGACGACCTCTCCGGCGTTTTATTGGTGTAATCGGTGTCTTGTCCTTCTGTTCCTCCTCCTCCTCCTCTTCTTCCTCCATCTCGCCCACTCTGCAGGTGCGCTCCAGCAGGGGCATAGGACGCTCATCCTCTGAGTTATCGAACGGCTCGTTCAGCACCTCTGTCGTCTCAGAGATGGTTTCTGTTGTTACACTGCTGTTTATTCTCTTTCTTTTACGCCCTCTCTTCTTGAGCACAATGGTTCTCTGAAATACAAATAAAAGAAAATCCCAATGAAAACAGAATAAAAACCTCCACCAGAGTAGCAGTTTTGTAAAGACTGAAAACTAGGGTACTAGGTGGATGACCTCCATGAGGATATGGCAGAAATTCATTCAGGCTTTTGTGCTAAATGTAAAATGTTAAAACCACACTCTGAGACTAAATGTTTGAGCAATGCAGCCTGGTGTGGAAAACCACAAATGAGACAGGCAGAGTAAGCAGAAACCACAGTCTATATTTTACATTCTC